ACGCAAACTCCGAAAGTCCGAGTCGACTAAATGTTCAAAGCCAGTGAATTGTACACAACTGTGGAAATTCCAGTGCTCAACTTCAGGCGGAAAGAGGTTACAGAAGCTTCCTGAAACGCCAGGCTCACTGGGGCAGACAGGTGTTTGATGTTAAAACATCACATGAGCACAAATGAAAGAAAAGTCGTTTCATTGTTTCACCGTAAAATTCCGAGCATAAGCCCTGTGGCCTTTGGATTCACAAGGGAGACTGATAATCCCAAACAAATTCTCAATTTGATAAGACCGAATCGGTACAGAAAGTCTAGTCGTTTTTCGTGAACAGACCATTTTCTCCTGAGCTGTTTTCCTCTTTTATATTGCAAGTCATGTTTAGAACCACGTTATAACCAGCTGTTATTGTTATCCTTATTCCGTATTTCACTCATTCATTGATCACTAATTGATACACGTATGTGAATACTTCCAACCGCAACAGCTGTTTTCACCTGAACTGTTAGCTCCAAATTCATCTTCATAACTATTGTTGCAAGGACCGCCACAAACGCTAAGCCAGCCTGTATGTATCCAGATGTAGATGATCGTATCTCAGTTTTTCTACTCACCAGCTCAGTTTGGTCTTATTACTTCTCGGTTACTTGGCAAGGTCAGCTACTTGCTACTAATTTACTGGTCATCGGGACAAAGTCTAAAAACAACTAGTGTTGCTGCACAGTTAATGTTTGCTGCACCCTGTCTTACTATTCATGTATACTTCCAAAAGCTAGTCCGCGATGTTACCTAGACGGAACAATTTCGAACGCTGACTGGTTCATATTTTGAGGTACACTACCTCTGACTTTGGCTGCACTTACTTTATCAGACTGCCTTTCCATCGGGCCGTTGGTTGCAGCGAAGCACTTGAAATCGCAATGTACCTTCGGCTAATACACTCCTACGTGAGGCAAGCCCGGAATGTACTAAGTGATTTGGATATACGGAGAAATTGTGAGTGAAAATTGCTACGCTCCTATTTGCTATGATTTTGCAAAACAGCTTTCATTAATTCGGTAAGAAAACTCATGACTACAAAATCGCTATCAACCCGTCTCATGTATAAGTTATAATCCGCAATTCAGTGTAATTTCGAATTTTATCCGACGCTTGCAAGATAACATGGTATCCCTTCCACTTATTCCATTGTTCGTTAACTGGGCTGGTTAAAAGGATAAAAGCCAACTCTATATTGTACCCAGAATAAAGCTTTCGAAATAAATTCTAACGGTTCCTAGGAGTTCAGCATCCAAAGAGATGCAATGCTCCTGCTGTCCTCGTAAAACTGCACAGCGTATGCAGTATGCCGAGATGCTATTCCTTAACCGAATCATCTCTGAACCTTGTCTTGTAAGATTGTACTAATTGCAGACGGTAAGCAATGCAATGAGTTGTGGGGCTTGCCATCGTTTATATATTGATTGAAGCAGTACTTTGTTAAGTTGGTTACGTGCCTCATCAGGATCACGTGCCCTCCAAAAATCAATATTGCCATATGAATAACACCAGGCTACGAATTCCAGGTTTTCATACTCTAAATCACACTCATACGTGGTTAAGACAATTGCCTATGCAAGACGCTGGACAATTTTATGTCGTTCTGAGACGTATAATGCAGGATGGAGGTGAGGAAGAAGCAAGCACATCACTGATCAAACGAAGCATTTAATGACAAAAGCCTAAAGAAAATTAGCAAGGTGATCACATGCAGAATCGTAATGTGTTTAAATGTCAAACGTTTTGTGAAGGAAACGAGTAATCAAAAGTTCACACTGTAACCGGCTCACCACTAATTGCTATGAACAGTAGATTCAAACAGCCAAGAATGAGTTTTTTGTTCAGTAAGATGATTAATCTTAAGATGATGAGTCTTAGAAGGAGCGAAACATGCAGCTGGCAGTAGAAATATTTTTATCAGTCTTCCTGTACAACTTACAACATTCCACAATCTCTTTGCTTGGTTTCACCGCCATTTTGTGGGATCAGCATCAGAATCAACAGGGTCAGTCATTTTCACATTTATCCTTCTCTTACGCTAATCACAGTAGCTTTTGAGTTGGGGATGACGTTTGGCGCTTGCGTGCTTTGTAGGATTCCAGTGGTCTAGCACATTCCTCATGTATTTCCATCCGTTTCAGCCTAAAGAAAGTTTCTACCAAGTTTTCTCCTCCAGGAAACTAACAGAATGCCTTGCAAAACTATATAACCGCAATCGTCTGAAGGGGCTCAGAAAAGCAATCTAGATTCTACTGTGCGATGAGGCCCCTAAGTGAGTGGCTGCAGTCTTCTGGATGACAATCTTAAACTTCGTCGTATAATCTCTGGCCGGTATCCTTATCAACTGGCTTTTATTTCTGGCTGCGCGGTTGTGAGAGATGCAGCTGCCGGTTGCGGTCCAGGCCACGCTTAATCCTCATGGTGAGAGTATTTTACAACTAGTAGTGGAGTGCGGCTTTGGACGGGTGCATACAAGGGTACTATTCCAACCTTCAGGATTACCAGTTCCTGTTTCCCTGTAAGACATAGCATTCCACGGAAGGATTTCATCTTGATGGGATCGGGATGCGATCATGATTGTGTGCTGTATGGACGCCAGCTGGGTATGACGTTAGTATGTGTCCATTCTGAAAATGGATGTTATCTATAAACAGTTGGTTGAAGTCCGAGAAATTTACGAGGAAATCACTGTCATTGAAATGAAGCTCGGAGCCAATTCTTATGGGTTAGGGAGGCTGGGTGAGGGATCGGGAATAGCGTGAATGCTTCGTTCTCTGTTACCGGTGAGACTGCCTCTTGACTCAAACGAATTCGGGGTTTGTAGACAGCTTTAGAACAAAGGCTGAAATCATAATAACGTCTGGTGGATAATCCTGGAACCATGGTCTAGATTTCCTGGAATATATCAGGGTTCATTATTCAAGACCTTCTTTGGTTGGTAATCTGGGGCAATGTCCGCCATGGTACAACCAGTGCTCTAAATTCACGACTTTGACTTTTAAGTGCCCCGAACCAAAGCCCGATAGTCGTTCCTCAAAACGACACTTGCTGCAATAAAAGTGGTAGACAATGATATTCCGTAGTGTGACGTCCTTTGGAGTAAATGTTTTCTAACAACCAAATTAGGACTGTTTTTCATCCTTGAGTGGGGATGCGTTCAGTTCATGTCTCATGTCTGATAATTAAGGCTAATCCAGCTGCGGGAACCTCATTTCCTGAAAATACGATACTCAACAACAAACTACTAGTACCTCAATGGGCAAAACTTCATATTTATTCTACTCGTGTTTAAGTGCTGTGCAACTCGAATGGATTATCCTATCGGACTATCCGAGTCTAGACGAAATCCCGATCATCTAGAAGTCATGTCTTCACCTCTGGTACTACTCTAGGGTGCAGTGCAGCTTCAACAGCAGCTGCCATGTCCCAGGCATCATCACTTATTGGAAAAAGTTTGGAACTGTTTGAGAAGTCATCGTTTCGGAAGGGCTTGGTGAACAATCGGTAGTTTTTTTTCATTTGGGCAAAGTTTCGCCTTATGGCCTACCAAAAATCCATTAACCAGATATCCCGGTGAGGTCGATAGTGGACAGATTATGTTCCTCACCGTATGAGCTGGCCAGATTCTAGGTATTTCAAAACCCTTCACCAGGAAATCTAGTAATTACATTAAGAATTCCTATGACTTTGCCAACAAAGTAGCGGTGGTTACTGTTAAACCAGATGACATCTTTATGAGTTTCGATGTTCATTCGTTAAATACAAGTGCACAGAAGAAATCGATCGGACAGGAGCCCAAATTGGAGTAAAGAACAAACTTCGAGATAGTGGACATCTGGCTAGTTTGATTGGACGTCGATTGATGTTGATACCGGTAGCGAAACCCAACAGGGGATGAATCGGGACCGCTGTTATCTCATCTAAACCAGGGACAACAAAGGTCATTCGAAGAATTCTCAATACGGCCAGCATAAGATTAGCTTTGCAGAGGGGAACACTTCGCTCTGCAGTAATGTAACTGAGGGATCGACTCCCGGCAAACACAACCAGGGACTGTGTCCACAAAATTAAGTGTAACTATTGCACCAAGGTCCATATAGGACAGACGGCTAGGGAACTTCACACCCGAATCGGAGAACATAAGGAGAAAATAGACAGACCGCCGAGAAACGCGGATGAATACCAAGCGTTACTGAAAGACTCGGCAATTGCGGAATACTCGCTGGACACGGGATATAAAATATATATAGAAAATGTTGAGGTTTTGAGGCGAGGAGAACAGTTCACATTACAGAGACTGGTGGCCGAGGTGGTAGAAATCGCCAAGCGTCCCAGTGTTAACCGAAGAGAAGGCGTGGGACTGGCAAGCGTTTGAACGGTCAGCAGCGGTCATCAGAAAGAGGGGTAGTCGTCATCTGAACTCCACTTGACCTCGCCTCCCCCCCCTAAACTAAATTGTCGCAGCGCTCACAACCCCACGAAGACCAAGGAAAATCTACTAGTGGCACCCGAGATGAATCATAAATTCAAGCACCCCGAAGTGGAAGATCAGCTAACCAAACCCGATCAGAACTAATTTGCAACTACCCTACCCACCAACCCAAGATTTTGACAACCACACCAACGGACAAGAACTGCTATTTGACACCACTACGCCAATGTGATTGATTCTCCGTCTGCCTTAAAACCTGGCCAACTTGGTGACCTGCTCACTTGGCCTGGTAAAGCTTTTGTGTCAAAAGCGAAATGTCACCCAAATAAAAACTACCGATTGTTGACCATGCCCTTCTGAAATAGTATCACTTATATTCCCGAATACAACTTTTGTTGCAATATCATGGTTTCCATTATCATTCATCGAGTTACGTCACTTTTCAGCAATAACTACCATAAACGCACGGACCAGCTCAAGAACCTAACTCTTATTGTATAGGTGACCATAAGCTAGTGAATCAACTCGACCTTTCATTATGGAAACTACTCACAAGGTTGCTGAAAAATCTTCGACGGCCCACGACCGGTTTCGCCCTTCTTGGGGCACATCGGGTGGGCACAGTCTTCGAGTTTCCGTCAACCTTATGTTCTACTTGAACTCAAATTAGACTGTTTTCGAGAAATACAATACAATCATTTGCAAATCGATTTGGTTTTCACGAGAGACTCAAGTGAATGTTAATGTGTCGTCCATGCCCCTTCTTTAATTGTACTGCATACTGCACGAAAAATAACTTGACGACAGAAGTTGATAAGCGGATATAGACGTAAAGGCAACTACTCACAAGGTTGCTGAAAACTCTTCGACAGCAACCTTGTGAGTAGTTTCCTTTATGAAAATATACTGCGATAAATATTATATTGTTCCAACTGAACCATGAGACGGTCTGTGTGCAGCGCATTCAGTTGTAGAATGTCATGAACGAGAGATTCATTTGCTCGTGAAAAAGTTTCCTTTATGAAAATATACTGCGATAAATCGAATATTGTTCCAACTGAACCATGAGACGGTCTGTGTGCAGCGCATTCAGTTGTAGAATGTCATGAACGAGAGATTCATTTGAGTCTCTCGTGAAAACGAAATTGATCCGCAAAGAGTGTATTTCTCAACTCGACTTTTATTCCACGTTTTATCTACCACGCCGGCCATTCAAAAATAATCCCAATTCTGTCATATCAGTCAACTCAAAAAACGGGTTTAGAGCTGATAAAGCATGACGTTCTTATTCGCTCAATTGCGACATCTAAAATGAATAGTGATCATCACCGTCAGGGTTTCTCCCTACGAGTGGAAAATGGTCCAAGGCTTTGTAGTCCATTTCTTTGAAAAACGATCAGTCCTTTACAGGTGAAAAAGTCTATCGTATCAGTTATGTTTTGTCCTATTGAACAACACAGCAAGATTAGGCGGCAGATAGTAGTCCCAAAAAGTCTTCAATCAAATGCCTAAACGAGATAAGCGTATTGACTATGGAAGTCGTAACTGAATAATCGTTCACATCCACCATACCGAAATGGGCTCATTGTACGGAATTTAATTAATCACTGCAGATAAATATTCCCTTAAGCGGAAATGGTGCATGCCGAAATTTCCTTTTTGTACGGAAGCAGTCCATAATCAACCGCAACCAAATGCAAAAGACCGGCACTACAGTGGATCCCGGATTAGGGTTGTGAAGGCCGCTTTTATTACCGTATAGAATTGTCGGATAAGATTAATCTGACAGAGGGTTCAACACATATGTGCACATTGGTTCGCCCCCTGATGTCTCATCAAGTAACACTGACCTGTGCATAGATTAGTTACAACGCCTCTAGCCTTCATAAACAAGCGACTTTTCCACAGATTGAAGTCTAGTTTGGAAAGATATGTGAACTCGGGACTAGGAGTGATGACTAGACATTGGCATGGATGATGCTCAATAAAAATGGCTGTTTCAGAATAAGCATAAGTGAATCTCAATCTAAGATACTAAACTCCAAGCACAAGCATCGACAGTAAACCTACCTACCGAATTTCAAACAACGCGGTATACACTATAACATTTCGGATTAAGTCTAGGGTTAAAAGAGATGTGGTGGGGCACGGAGTTGGTATTGTGGAACCATGGGTGAACCCGTTAAACAATGGTTCTACAAAGAGAGGCTTTCCACAGCAATCTTGTGGCTAGAAAAATGGGAATATTTATTGGGTCGAAACCCTGTAAGGATGCGTAATGTACTTCAACAGAAGTAGCTAATGTTGTGCGCTAAAAATAAATGTCCTCTCGGGCTGGACAGCACAGCATCAGACGGAGTAGAGTTGCTGGACTTCGCAGAGTGATAGAAAAATTGACTATTTTTTCGGAAGCACGTGAACGGCTAACACAAACTGCGCAAAATTACGTGAAGCAGTCCAAGTTACCCAGTGAACTTTGGACCCGAACCTAGTCAATTGAAGATTGTTTAAAGATTTTTTTCATAATACATGCAATGTTGAGTCACTAGGGTATCCTTCGATGTGTGCTGTTAAAGCCAGTTTTCCGGTGGTGGTGCGGATTAAGTGTTTGGGGAGAAACCATTCCAAACTCAACTAATTTCCACCTGGAAGTTTATTCTGACAGAATTGTGAATGAGCTCAACTCCATTTCCTGTATAGACACTGAAAAATGTAGCGTGTTTTACTGGCAAGTGATTTTTTCAACCGAAGGCGAATTCGAAAAGCATTCAATAACGACTGATTGCGGTTTTTCTATTTCCTTCATTCATACACTAGCGCACACAATGTTGAGCCTATCTGTTCTATTTTACGATTCCCCACCTGCTTGTTGTAATGCTTCGTATTCCTCAAAGTACTAAAGCCTGTGGCACATTGGCTCCTCCGGACGGCTCATTCGGTCTCTAGGTACACAGTATATAATCAGATCAGATAAGCTTATTAGATGCATCTGATCACGTTTGCCTATAGTCAACGGCGTATCGTAGTGGACGACTTGACCATATAAGCAGACTGGTTTGTTGACCGACGTACACGCTCACCCCTGAAGATTTTCGGCTGAGTAGGACGCCACTGAGGCTTGGTCGGCCATAAAGGCCCCCCTCTGTGAATAAATGTGCTTTGAGTATGCGTTTGCATAGCCCCGTCTACGAGCCTTCATGACCTGTCCCTCAGGATCCAGCTAATGACTTACGAGGTGCAACGACGAAGCCACTCGGCATAACACGCAAACTCCGAAAGTCCGAGTCGACTAAATGTTCAAAGCCAGTGAATTGTACACAACTGTGGAAATTCCAGTGCTCAACTTCAGGCGGAAAGAGGTTACAGAAGCTTCCTGAAACGCCAGGCTCACTGGGGCAGACAGGTGTTTGATGTTAAAACATCACATGAGCACAAATGAAAGAAAAGTCGTTTCATTGTTTCACCGTAAAATTCCGAGCATAAGCCCTGTGGCCTTTGGATTCACAAGGGAGACTGATAATCCCAAACAAATTCTCAATTTGATAAGACCGAATCGGTACAGAAAGTCTAGTCGTTTTTCGTGAACAGACCATTTTCTCCTGAGCTGTTTTCCTCTTTTATATTGCAAGTCATGTTTAGAACCACGTTATAACCAGCTGTTATTGTTATCCTTATTCCGTATTTCACTCATTCATTGATCACTAATTGATACACGTATGTGAATACTTCCAACCGCAACAGCTGTTTTCACCTGAACTGTTAGCTCCAAATTCATCTTCATAACTATTGTTGCAAGGACCGCCACAAACGCTAAGCCAGCCTGTATGTATCCAGATGTAGATGATCGTATCTCAGTTTTTCTACTCACCAGCTCAGTTTGGTCTTATTACTTCTCGGTTACTTGGCAAGGTCAGCTACTTGCTACTAATTTACTGGTCATCGGGACAAAGTCTAAAAACAACTAGTGTTGCTGCACAGTTAATGTTTGCTGCACCCTGTCTTACTATTCATGTATACTTCCAAAAGCTAGTCCGCGATGTTACCTAGACGGAACAATTTCGAACGCTGACTGGTTCATATTTTGAGGTACACTACCTCTGACTTTGGCTGCACTTACTTTATCAGACTGCCTTTCCATCGGGCCGTTGGTTGCAGCGAAGCACTTGAAATCGCAATGTACCTTCGGCTAATACACTCCTACGTGAGGCAAGCCCGGAATGTACTAAGTGATTTGGATATACGGAGAAATTGTGAGTGAAAATTGCTACGCTCCTATTTGCTATGATTTTGCAAAACAGCTTTCATTAATTCGGTAAGAAAACTCATGACTACAAAATCGCTATCAACCCGTCTCATGTATAAGTTATAATCCGCAATTCAGTGTAATTTCGAATTTTATCCGACGCTTGCAAGATAACATGGTATCCCTTCCACTTATTCCATTGTTCGTTAACTGGGCTGGTTAAAAGGATAAAAGCCAACTCTATATTGTACCCAGAATAAAGCTTTCGAAATAAATTCTAACGGTTCCTAGGAGTTCAGCATCCAAAGAGATGCAATGCTCCTGCTGTCCTCGTAAAACTGCACAGCGTATGCAGTATGCCGAGATGCTATTCCTTAACCGAATCATCTCTGAACCTTGTCTTGTAAGATTGTACTAATTGCAGACGGTAAGCAATGCAATGAGTTGTGGGGCTTGCCATCGTTTATATATTGATTGAAGCAGTACTTTGTTAAGTTGGTTACGTGCCTCATCAGGATCACGTGCCCTCCAAAAATCAATATTGCCATATGAATAACACCAGGCTACGAATTCCAGGTTTTCATACTCTAAATCACACTCATACGTGGTTAAGACAATTGCCTATGCAAGACGCTGGACAATTTTATGTCGTTCTGAGACGTATAATGCAGGATGGAGGTGAGGAAGAAGCAAGCACATCACTGATCAAACGAAGCATTTAATGACAAAAGCCTAAAGAAAATTAGCAAGGTGATCACATGCAGAATCGTAATGTGTTTAAATGTCAAACGTTTTGTGAAGGAAACGAGTAATCAAAAGTTCACACTGTAACCGGCTCACCACTAATTGCTATGAACAGTAGATTCAAACAGCCAAGAATGAGTTTTTTGTTCAGTAAGATGATTAATCTTAAGATGATGAGTCTTAGAAGGAGCGAAACATGCAGCTGGCAGTAGAAATATTTTTATCAGTCTTCCTGTACAACTTACAACAAACGACTTAGTAGTCACTTTGGCGGTGTTTTGTGGGCTTACTGAATTCATGTTCATTTAAGGCATGGAAAGTCTATACGGAGGCAGATTAGACACACACGTCCCAGACATCTGTGTTTCACTTCGAAGTGCTTCCTCAGATTAGGTGCATATAAGTTGATAAGCACTGGTAGTGTGTTGATTTAAGAGATAAATGTACTACATTGAAAATGAATATGTTCACAGGAAATGCAGATCTGATGCTAGTGAGAACCTCCACAAATTCCCTAATCCGAGGTTTGTTCGCCTCCGCACAACAGTTTTCCGCAAGAGTATACTTTGAGAACATTCTGATGTGTCTACAACCCCCTAAACCCTTTCAAGTGGCAGCCGGCCTGCAAGAATTTCGGTGCTTTTGTATTGTAATTGCAAATCAGCCATCCCTGAAATCAGGTTAGTGGAGCCTAGTTATACTGTGGTTCTAGCGGGAACTGTATCGTCTGAAGCAAATGTGGTACAGGCCCATAGTTTCTAGTCGTACCACTTCATTGAAAATTTCATGTGCATCGTTACTGATTCATTAGGATATCCATGATTAGGGGCCGCTAAATACATTTCAGGCATCCGAGTTAGGAATATGCTTTTTGTCCAAATCCTCTACCCTCCTCAAGTGGTCTGCTGACAGATAAGCGGTATCCTACTAATTTATCGCATTATATTCACCGCAAACCAACTTGTCAGGATCGGGTCAGTTTGTTGAAAGCCCACTGATCGTCTGATCCATTTATTGTGAGCCACTTATCACCAGCCTAATTTACTGCCCTCTGATGAAAAACTATTCACGGGTACAAATTTTGTGACACATGGTGAAACGTGAGACACTTTGATTGAATCCCTTTGCGCCAAGCATTCGTCAGTGCTCGAGATGACTGGAAGCCGGATAGGTCAAGCTGGACGAAGACACGCGTGGCGGATAGAACATGAGGATCGAGACGGTGCGTGAAATATTGACGATAGAGCCGAACAGTAAGGTGATATAGTGGGACATCACACTTACCTGAATTCAAAATTTTTCCAACATGTGGACTAGACTTCATTCAGGAGTAAAAAAATCGTTCAGCTGTAGCACTCTTCCGGTACCTAACTGCCATGCCACACGAAGGTTGCACGAGGGTTCGGATACTGCCAGGTTGCCTAGGCCTAGACAGGGAAAGTCGAGAGGCAGAGGTCGGGTTCGCACCACGGACCTTCAGGTCAGTAAATTCGCGCTCCAACCACTTCGGCCATCTCGCCCCCCTCATTCAGGAGTGTGACTGTGTGACGTTTAAGCAAATATAGAAGTAAGTTTATCCGTTAAGGGACGCTAAATCAGTTGTATCCCCCCGTAAAAACGTTTGATGGATATCACAAACATCATCTTCATCACTGATTGCGAAACCCTCGTGAAATATCTTTCCTGAGTGGCGGATAACGAAGAAAATCGAATCAAAACGCATAATCAGTAAAGCAAGGACGGGAAAACAAGGTTCGCATACTGTTTCTTGCTGGCGATACTAATGTCGCAGTAATGTAGGACGTTTACAGTCAGTTTCTCATTTTAATCAGATTTCAGTAGCCGAGGGTACTTGGGCGGAATCCAGAATAAAATCCATGAAAGCGGAGCTGATCGGACTGTTCGAGATATGTGCACGTCAATCGGTAACGAGTTCTGATAGGTATTCACACCACTCTCGTTTGAAAGTTCTTTTATTCTGACGCTGGTTGCCTAACCTATACTACTGACAAAAGTCCAGTACAGATGGAGGACTGCTCAAAGGAGACTGATGTGAACACATTTCCTGAAATTATGTAACTTACCCAAGGCTCGGCGAGCAATGGATGACAATGGGTTAATGATGTGGGGAATAGAAAATGCATCTACTTTATGGGGATAATATTTTCAACTATAAGCTGAGAGGTCAGGGAGCAATAAGGAGTCAGAAGCTCACAATAAGCACTTCATGTGGACAGTAGGATTTCAAGTTAGTCATTTACAGTGAATATCAGTCAATAATTCGTATAAATCCCGAAATTTCTTGTCTTTTAAAATTGCGTTACGAATGCCGGTTTTCTTTTAGAATGCCAAGAAATGCACAGTTATCTTAAAGTTTGACGTGCAACGAATTCACCGCGGGTTGCTTTTGCTTCATGGTGTTACTACATCCACTTTTTGCCGTTAATAATTAAATGAGCTGTATTCTTAGACTCGTTCTTTGGTTGCTTTATAGCCGTTCAGAAACGGATTGCTGTTGGAGGGATGATAATAGTTCTAATGGTCTTCTGTATCAGTCGACTCACCACTAAAACGCCCGGTAGATGGTACCAGGAGGCGCGGCACAGACCGTATATATTCGTCGGCGGACATCAGAGTTCCGGTGAGTGATTTAAAAGCTTGAAGCAACTAAGCCGCTGGGCTATCTTGAGAGTTTGGTTTTGACCTGCTAGTGTTTTTGGCTGCGAATATGTAACACGGATGACTCTTCCTTAACTCTTATTCAGACTATGCTGTACATCGGGGAAAGATTATCAGATACTGAAAACCTGAGTATTTAATATCCGTTTTTTTGTTATTTTGTACCGGACGCTTCAGCAGACCCAGCATCCAAGCAAACTGCTGGAAGATACATTTTTTGGTGAGATTATGGAAAGCAACAGGCGAAATACGCTTGCATTCCTCATGAGCTCAAAAGATGTAGCATAGAATACGTGATTTCTGTGTTTAGTCGTCAAACAACCATAGCATGACTAAAACTAAGGTGCATGTTAAGTAAAGGGGTTTTGGCTGAATAATCCAAAGACAGGTAAAATAATAACGATTCAACTGTTGCAACCAAATGTCGGTCATTGTTTAGTAGTTTGAACACTACATACCTGTTGGCTTTTTCAGATTGGTTGTGCCATTACCTTCACAAGCCTGATAAGATTCCTCCGATTGGAGAGAATATCGTAAATATTTGAATTATAGCGCATTCAAGGGCTCTTGTAAATCAGTGGGATGTGTAATGACCACAAATAGGTCTACTTACTTCACCTGTTTCGTACTGCGCTCTGAGAATGCTTCTAAACACTACCTGACGCGCGCACAGTATAAAGTCGAGCCAGTATACCCGAAGAGTGGAACAAAACACAAGGCAATTTCTATCTGAGGCAGGTTTTAATCACAGTATCGCAACGCACACTCGGGTGCAACTAAACAACACGACAAAAGATTACGGTATCGCTCTTAATGCCTGGTTGTGATATAGAAAACTACGTCGTTCAGCAGCGTCCTACCTAGCGGCCTCGACACCATAGATGCCCTCACAATATTAGATGAAGACTGAGTAAACTAGGATCAAAACGAGGACCAAAGCGTTCGCTACAGAGTCAATGACATCACATAAGTTTACACGGTAACAGGGACCCATTTTCAATAAGACGGGATTAGAATCCATGTGCTATAAGTAAAACGTGACGGTAACCGACGGTGACGTTTTAATTAAAACAAGATTTAACATGGCTCCGTATCAAAGCTGGTCGTCTTATGAGAAAGAAAAGAATATGAGGTTATTCGTACAATTTTACGCGCAATGCAGTCTTAGTCAACAATAATTATTTCCGCAATTTTAACCCCTGGGCAAGGCCTCCCCAATGGTATTCGTCTTCCAAATGAACTTTCATTCAGTAAGTGGAGTCGACTTATACCGAACACCGAAAAGCACTGCACGGCTGTTTCAGTCTCGTAGAGAATCATCAGCAGTGTGCAGCTGACTAATCTACAAAGTGATTCAATCTCCAATCCCATAGAAATCAGTAGAGAATTACGGGTCTAATTATGAGTAACTGATAAGCAGTGTGATGGGATATACCACCACTTATCCTTCGACCATGCCATGCACATCACATGGTCAAGTAGGGACTTCGATTTGCCTGCGTTTAGTTTAGGAAGTGATGCAAACTGTTAGCCTATACCAGGACTGATGTCTTTCACTGTACTGAGTTCAGTAACCTTTTAGAGAAATTCCGAGGTTTTTATTAAGGGTTTACGACTGTACGGATTATGTTAAATCCAACTATTAATTATTTTATCAGCCCTCCTAAAATTTGTAGGTTTTTCGACCAAACTATCCCCTTCACTTTTCATTTTGCCTTAATTTCTATAGCTCAAGACTGGTTGGGCCAAGACATGGTGAGATGGCTGAATGGTTAGAGTGCAAGTTTACTGCCTAGAAGATCCATGGTTCGAACCCGGCTTCTCCCTCTCGACTTCCCCTGTCTAGACAGTTAGACACAAGCTAGACACTGTAGAGTGTTACAGCAGTTTGGACACATCCAGAGGGCCTGACTCGCTAAATTTCTTGCATCACTTACCCCAACTAATGTGAAGGCTGCAGGTACTCGAGTATTTGTTCACGTGAGTGGTGGATATCTTCCACCTCTTCTTTCCTTCGTATATCCACACTGGTGCATCGACCTGGGTAGACTTCATGTACGAACGGAAATAAGCAAAATGGGTGAAATGATTGGTTGGAAAATTTAGATAAACCCAAGTTTTTTACTAGTGCTTAATTAAGGACATTAAATGAAACCAAAACAAGAACGCTGCCATGATGGCAGAAAAATTCAACATCAAACAGGCGATGACTAAGAGCGCTGACATGGTTACACTCACTAAATCATTTGGTCTAAGTGAGAGGAGAAATCCCGATCACACGAAGGGTGGAGGGGATGATGTAACAGAAAAATCCTCTTTGGTAGGTTTTGTGGGTGCTCTTATCGTACTATGATAACAGGACGCGTAAGTAACGCAGTGAATCTTGATTTCAAATGGTTCCAAAGCTATTTCGTTGAAAAACGCGAAGGGTTTGTAATAGGACTCGTCTTTTGCAACGGGAAGATGCCGTATATACAATTTTTTGATGGACATACTGAAGATGAAAGTAGCTACTGATGTGTATTGATCCGAGGTAAGAGTTCCTCGAATAGTGACTTTCAAACAAAATCCATAAAAGGTGACCGACTATCTAGAATTAGCGCAGAATGTGCCTAGTCTAACAGCACTACGAAGTTATTTAAAGTAGCGAAAACTTACATAAAACTTCTCTTGTCCTGAAGCTAGCGTCCAGGATGATGAACCTTATGAATGGATGAATAATCTAATTCTTTTTGAGATCCTTTTTTACAACTCTGTATATGCTAACTGGTGGTTTTTTGTTCAACCCATGTGTGCTTAGCAAGAGCCTCAAATCAGTTCATGCTACGACATGCTAAAATCTGCTCCACCTTACACTAATCCATCAGAAAGGAACTCAATAGGAATAGCAGCGATAAGTGAACATCAAATAGGCTGAAACATTATAAAGACACGCAGTTAGCCGGACGATGGTTTGTGGGGTTGAAACCTCCCATATAAACATTTTACAGATGAACAACTATTGGAATAACATTGGATCATGTTTAAAATCATTTCTCACTAAAAGGCAAATGTACTGCGCTGGCCATTTACTACTGCATTCTATGAGACAGATTGCGTTTTCATAAGTATTCTTAAGTGGGGATTTTTCCTAGTAAAACACACTATAGTGATCCTTCAGCACCTCTGATGGTCGCTTATTGGGAGGGTTAAAAAGTGATACAATAAGCCGCTTGCACGCGTGAATCAGTAAAAATCAATAGGCAAGAGTTTTTGCTGTTTCATCACCTTAAGACAAACGTCCACATCTACACAGGTTGTAACGATCATATTACACCGGGAAATGAAGACCTAGGGCGGACCGCGTTTGAGAGAACAGATATTTTATTTAAGAAAGCTTAGTACGTAGAATCCCCCACTGTAGGGTGCCAACCGAGGTCTCCAAATATCCGAGACAATTTTGTATCCACATGCGGGGAATTCATGTTTCATCCATTCATGCTTCAGAGTGTAGGCGGTACAACGGTGGCAGCATGGTACCATGATGACAAAAAAATCCTAGTTTGGTAGGGAACTGTACAGCTATTTCGGTTTGTAAAAGCGTCGAAAGCATGAGATAGATCCTCTTTGATAGGCCGCACGCCTCACAATGGTTCAACCTTACGGGAAAACTAAAACAGATGACACATTTGTTCATTGCCTTGTACAGATCAGAAGCCTATCTTTGTATCTATTCCAGCGGCCAACAGATCTTGAGCTTGTGAAGAAGCCCAATTATTTTATCGGGTTATATTAAAGACCCGTTTGCCGCCATACAGTTTTGTATCACCTCACAGTTGGTGTTTCATAGGAGCATAATACCAACCAAACTCCTTGATAAAATTGCACACGGGCCTTACAATCACGGCCATGCACATGGATTTGGCAGAGTCCTGGGGAGATATGTGAAAAATTAGTGTCGTTGCATTCTTTTTGTGTGTCTTGGTTGTCCAAGCTGTTCACGAAGGGCTCGCTTTGCCCAAATTATGCCAGCAAATGACTGAAATAGAATAACGAACCTCGGGATATCTGATGACGTGTTTGCTGCCATCTCCAGTAGGTCGAATACAAACCGGGTCAGCTTGAAATTACGATATTCGGCCGAAAATAAGCATGAGGTTTATCTCTGCTGCATTCTTGAATAAGTGAACTAGACGAATACATCAAAAACACTACATACACACTCATTTACATACGAATTGGAGCATGACAAAAAAAATTAACTGAATCCAGCCGAATCTACCAGTCATGGTGGTCTAAATGTACCGCATCAGGTAGCCAATAGATTCGAGTGAATTTAGTCCCGTCTTCCGACAAAGCCAAACTTAAAAGCAAATGAGAATATTCGGTGAATTCCGTACAAATTAGGTTTAAGCAAAACACACCGTTGATAAGAACTTGGGGAGTGTGTCTACCTGGTTAGCACTAAGAAGGACATAACCAGGCATAGGCTGTAGAGGCGTTGTACCAGCTTCATAAGTAATATATTAAGTTCACACTATAAATCGTCCAGTTAAGTGGTCGTTAGACAATGAGGCGGTTTCAGGGGTTCAGAGAAGATTGGAGGTCAGGTATTTGGATGCATTAGATGCTGATGTCTGATGTTCCAGTGATTTGACTGAATGAAGATTTCCAAAAGTTTTGTATGTTCCTATTTTCGTTGCCAATCAGGTGCCTAGTATCATGCTGTTGATTGAGAATTTGTGACCTTGGCACTACAGGACGTGTCTCAACGTTTTAGGCGCTATTTCGTTGAGTTTTTGGCAGAAAAAAAAGCTGATACTGGAATAAGCAGTTTCGCTTTGTGGGCACGTAAAAAGCATCCTATATGTGTTCCATTTACCATAGTCCAAGGGATACACATGCAAGTGAGTGGAATATAAACATGTCGACAAACAGTCAAGTGGCATTATCCTGACGTTGCCATTCCACACGGAGAGATGGGAATCCAAATAAAAATGAACGAGTGACTAACGAAACTGATGACCCCATAGATAATATCATATACGCCAGGCTGACCAAAACTAAATGAGAGTGCTTCTTCAGCTTGTAGGCTAGTATGGACAAATCTTTCCAAACGGTCTCCGTTTGTTTACGATTTGAATATGTACGCGACATCCGTTAGTTAGCATCTTAATCCTTTAGTACCTGCGCCGTGGGTCTTTGGTCCAATGTATCACGGCCGTTCTATATGAGCTTAACTTACCTCTTTAGTCATGGTCTATTCTAGTATGCATTTCTGAGTTACTAGTTTACGGCCTCGGGGATGATTGTGGTGAACAGTAAAGTCAATCTATTGGCCTATGGAAGCCATCGTTGATCAATAAAATGCAGACGAACCCCAACTGACAAGGGAAATTGCTAAGTCATATTCCCATTCCACCCGAAATGTGTAAAACGGTGGTAGACGTCTTATCTGCAGCCAACGTCTTTTCAAGCTATAGACTGACTTGGACTGCCCTAATCGGACACAGATGTTATAGTAGCTCTGAGTACCGCGTGGTTTTTAGCTTTATGTTTGATTTTACAAACTTGTCTCCTGATCTCTCTGACGACTAAGGCTATGCGCGACAAACAAAATTGTAGTACTCATTGCGCACAGTCACCATCATAAAGTCAGAGGACTTTATCCATGTGTTGCTACTTTCACCGCTTTATATTTGTTATTCTGAGTTTTTGGATTCTTTACTGGGACAAAGGCATAAAATATAGAAGCCAATAAAAGCTCATTTTCTTCCCTTTTTGAGCAATTCTGCACGACTCCGGAGATTAATTCAAAACCTTGAAAAAACTAATTTAGGCCCTTTGTTCTGAACTGAATTTGCCGAAAAATAAAGAAATAAAATTGAAGCTATTTTCGTACTCGCTAGGTACGGGTAGTCTCCGTAATTACGTGATATTTTGGTCCGGTGAACAAAATTATATTTGAATATAATACCACATCATGTGCTGAAAAATGCGCAAAGTGGAAGGTAGGTCATGCCAAGATAAAAGACTCCGCATGGAGGTGATAACCGTATTCATATTTGTACAACTGATTGAGTGAGCTGTGTGATATTTATAAGAGAATGGACGGAACAACTAAAGTACCTAGATCCGCACTAAACGGCAACAAATAAAATTCCCAATTTTTGGTTACTCATAGGCCCAGGATTTTCTCATATGACTTTTGACTTTTAAACTTACTGCCAAAAGAGAGTCTGGAAGTTATTAAGCAAGTGGTAGAGTGCAGTTGCATTGTGGGTCTTTCCATGCCATCTGCAGCAGTAATTTTTGCTTTCTAAGGCTTTTTGGTAAATTATTAACTAACCCCATACGTTTTACTGAGCTCGATGAGTGAGCGTTTGTTATAACATTGACATTTTAACGTTTCGCAGTGCAAATTTTTCACTTGATGATATGCTTGAATAAAAAATAATACAGTAGTCTCTCCAAATCAGCGACACCAGCAAAAAAAGGGCTTGCGGCTTTTTCTGGACATGACTCCATTCAAAATATTTCACGCCTAATTATGGCCGACGAAAACGCGCATGTACCTTTCCCTTTCGGAAGAAAAGATGACCCAGGGTAGCATTTTTATTATATCTCGGGGCTGTCATATGAGGAAAGGCTCTCAAATTTAAAAAAATGGCTATAATAAATCACAATCTTGTACTTTTTACGAATTGGAATGCTTTTAACAGAAGCTCCCCTGACTCGTACATTGCAAAGCGAGTAAGATTACTGAGTGCAATCACTTTTGTTTCTCTAAATTTTACCTGTCATTCTGTGAGGCATATAAATAGTCGATTTTCTAAACACTTCACCTATTCATTTTCGAAAGTTATCGAACGGATAAAAATGAAATCAGCATTGTTCTAACCGGGTGAGCTCAAGCTTTAGTTCGTTGGACGAATTTACCATCTCATGGGTAAAAATGTTTAACTGACACTGAAGCAGTCACGTGTCTGACGAGTTTGAATGAATGATGCTGAAGCAATATTTTAGTGTGCCAACCATATAATTCATGCGACATATCTTAATTGTATATAAACCACAAGCACCTCAACATTGGAACGTAATACGGGGAACGTTCTCTCTGGTACCGGGCTCTGGAATGGGAACAGCAGTTAGATATAACAGTTTTTACTACTCTGTGTTTTTCTGCTAACGTTTTTGGAAGTTTTTTCATGATGTTATACTTACGGTTATTAGTACACCCATTATCAAAACTGAATATTGATTTATTTTCATCGTTTTTACTCAGGTACAACTCTCATGCGCGTCATTCTGGACGTACATCACATGATTCGGTGTGGTCCAGAACCAGTGGTCGGTGAATTTCTCTTGCGGTTTCGTGTCAGCATGGATAAATTCAAGGACAGGCTGACGGATATCGGTATATATCCTGAGATTCTGGACACAGCCGTAGCAAACTTCCTGTCAGAAATCATTGAAAGAATGGGGGCACCTGCTCCCGTTTTGTGTCACAAAGACCCTCGGACATTTTTCTACCTTGCTTATTTGGGAGAACTTTTTCCCAGAGCAAAATTCATCAATATGTTACGGGATGGAAGAGCAGCTATTCTTTCATCGATAGAGTAAGTTCCGGGGGCTCTTACTTCGTCTCACATGACAGTACTCCTCGAAGGAAAAACCTCAGAGAGAGCACCTGTCGAAATGAAATTTTCAGCAGCCCAAATCTGAAGGAATTAACCCTCTGATAAATACACTCATTTGCAAATCAACTTAGTTTTCACGAGAGACTCAACTGAATCTCTCGTTTATGATGTTCTACAGTTGAATGTGCTGCACACAGGCCGCCTCATGTTTCAGTTGGTACGACATTCGAGACATTGCGGCACATTTTCATGAAAGAAACTACTCACAAGGTTGCTGTCGAAGAGTTTTCAGCAACCTTGTCAGTAGTTTCCTTCATGAAAATTAACCTTCTGGTTTTTCAACTCAGTTGCATGCTTCTCAAAAGGATGGGTCATTGTGGAGCTATCCCGCGCCATTCATCCAGCTTCACTCGTTTCTTTCCACAATGGTATATGCCATAACTGCTGCTGCAGCGGTATCCGATCTAATCAGCTGGCTGTGATTGACTTGACCTAACACGGCCCGATACGCGCATGGAAGTGATAAATGGAACACCTCGAGAAGCTGGATCAATCACCAAGTCCTCTGTTTAATCGACTTTGTGGTCCTTATCGTTGAATTAGCAAGCGGTTTTGTGATTCGTTTTCTTGATTCGAGCTCAGCTAGCCGTCGCAGAAACTAAGACCTCAGGTTGGCTAAGATATAAAGATTTGCATATTGACACAGGTTCAGATAAACGAGTCACAGTTCGTATGAGTGACCGATATGCCATAGAATCTGGAGTATCCGGTTTCCTCTCCGCAGCTGAATCAGAATCTTTTCCATGTAAAACGTGTTAAAAATATCTAAAGTCGGAGAGACAGGTGAGTACCCCGGTGCAGAATTGTGGTAAATGAACTAACATGTGGGTATTCTGAATCACATTTGGGACTGAATACGTGCGAACAAGTCGTGATTATTTGACGGGAATCTTAAACATTCATAAGTAGTTGGAAAATAAACTGAAAAGATCAGTGGTTTGATTCATAACCTTCCGACTTTAAACACGTTCTGACTCAAATTTACCGTGAATTCGGCTTCATAAGTTGTAAAAGTCAGACGCCTAACGAACGACATCATATTGAGCGGGCTTTCGGGGTCCAAAATTGAAATTCAGTTCATTCAAGGCGAACGGTTTGCACAAGGGTGTCGATCAGAGTCCGTATGAATTACACTGTTTTGTGCGGATGGGACAATAACTAGGGCATCAGAAGGCAAATGACAACGCAAACTACTGGAAACCGACCGTCAACCTCTCCTCCTGAAAATATCTTACCAAATAATCAACAGTGTGATGCGATACGACATCCATCGTTTCCAAGACTAGCAGCGTTGTTCAGCAGTACTTGAAATTTTAAGGGATACTGACAAGATATCAGGTACTTCCATCATTATTGGTCACAACGGAGGCGGAGTCATATTTTACAATATTTGTTGAAGCTGACTAGCTGTCTTGTTATATTTGTGAATATCCGGACACTATGTGCGTGTAGCGCGAATTGGACGTGAATCGATTTGCCATCCATTCAAGTTCTTTGAACTGACTTCCATTTGGATACAATATCTAAACCTGTCTTATTAGACCCTTGACGACAAAGTTTATGAGATTGTGCCAGCAGTTCAGGTGATGTCACTTCGAAGATTTTGCCCGCATGTATTTACTTTGGCAGAAGCCTGGCACTAAATGGTCATAAACTTTGATGTGACAGGTGATGTAATCATGTCAGCATTACTGGTTTCTTTCCGCTTCCAACTGTGGTGGTTTTTCACACAAGCCTACGCTCGATGAAATCTCACCAGTATTGTAAGGAAGGCCTCTATTGGGAGAACCGTCGCTAACCTACAATGTGTAGATGGATCATGCCATCAACATAGCCCCATATATTCATGCATGCGTTAAAACCTATAGTTTGCGGTCTATTACGAACCAGTCTAGCCGGAAGGTGTTAACTCAGTAGTACTTTTTCACGGTAATAAATTCTTACCACAGTGAAAGCATTTGTATCTTCGTGTACCCTCTGCTGTGATATTTATGAACTAGTGGAGATTCGAATGCGGGTGTCCTTTATTTTGCTCTGTCGATGAGCTTCCAGAATCATTACAGTAGTTCTGACCTGAAAGTGGTTATTGTTTAAGAGGCCTTGAAAAGGGGATCACAAAGTCACTTCAGCATCAACTTATAGAAGCAGTTATTTCGAAGTAGACAACATAACATATCTACCTCGTGAAACATCATTCTTTCCTCAGTGATAACCCCAGGGCTGATTCATATGAGTGGAATCAGCCTGAGTTGCAAAACCTAGGTCTGAGTATACCTCAACCATGAATGTGTAATACACCAATAATATAGGAACAGATAGATGGTGACTACTAAGGGGACGATAATTGTTTGCACTTCAGAAAGCCGGTATCGACTTAAGTCTTTCACAATTACATGCTGTGAAGGCGATTTGCTTAAAATTATGATGTGGAATCAGTAGTTGTTCTACTAACTTTGGCGGAAGTTGCAAGCTCATTTACACCTGTCTGAAATTAATCTGATTCTGGAGATCTCTACCGCTGAGTATAACCTATAGCTCGTCTGAACGTATCAGGATTGACCAAGCTTTCTGAGCCATTGTTTGCGGTTTGCCAATTTTCCCCTCCAGAAACCAGCCACAGGGAACACAGTTATTTCTTCAAAAAATATACGATAACGGCATTTTGTCTTGTGAAATCACTCGATCGATCCCTTTTCCTTCCTGGCAGACGAAAATTGAGCAACGGAACAGAGTTGACTTTGTTAAAGAAGTGGGAAATATGGGTTCGCCAAATGCAATATGATTGTCAAAATTTGGGACCGCAGAGATGTATGACGGTCCGTTATGAGTTGCTTGTGCTATATCCGGAGAAAATGCTGAGAAAGATCATGGGTGAGTGTACCAGGTTAATATATTCTGTGTAGTGGAGTTAAAATGTACTCCTTGTTTTCCAGTAACTAATCAAACGCACTATCATCAAATGCTAGGATTAGCGAAATAGTTTGGTCGCGAGCATACTTATATTGTTGCCCACGTATCCTGTAGGATGTGCCTCTTGAGTGATAACTTCAACAAACTTGATGTACTTCAGTGCGTGTCCACACGTTTGTCTTCTTTATCATATGATTGGCAGATTAGTTCTTTCTTCTTGCCACCAGAGCTGAGGATTTTTAGGGGGTGAAAATTATAGTTTCATTCTACCCTCACATTGTTAACGTCCTCAAGAGCAGAATGTCCAGAAAATCTCTTGGATAGATAAGGACAGAGTACTCCGGTTACCCGGAATATGTTACATTGAGGCGGACTCGACTCACTGTGGATAGAAAGTTGCTTACTGTGTGAAATAGGACATGGTTCTTACAGTGGAGGGTGTGGTGGTTAAACTTTGCGTCACACTGTCCGTTTAATTCCTCATGCCTGATTTAATCGGCTTCTTTCTACGCATGGAACTAGACTGACCCGAACACAGCACACCGTGCGCGCTGTGCCACCGTTCAGTAGTGGTCTGTCGTGTAGAGTTCACACCAGGGCTCTTAACTAGGTATAGTACCATTCTGAAGAATACAAAGTAAACAATTCGGCTGAATATGCGGACGTGGGCAGTCAATAAAGCCGTAAACCTGATAAACCAAAGTAGGGTAAAATAAATTTGCTATGGGATTCTTCTTTCGAGAAAAATGTTACCTCATACCACACTTACGGGTCAGTATTAACTGGTGCCCGTGTATCTCAATATTCCAAGCACTGCAAACAATACAGACGATATTTTAACGATATTTGGTGGTCATGGTGATCAGTTTTATTGTTATCCAAAGTTGTCCAACGCTTGGCACAAGCCAGGTGTGTTGTTACTGAACTACTGGTCTCGACAACGGCCACTGCTGATGGTATTTGAGCTGCCCAACCGATTAAGAGAGAAGGAAACAATCGGCTGAAGTGCATCCCACAAGAGATTGACATGCATGACTCAATACAACACAGTGTGAATCATCAATGCCCAGCGGGTAATGTGAACTGTAACCAAGCTAGAACGAGGGTTAATGTCTCACCAGATTTTAACTTGAGCAAACTCGCTGAGCCAATAAGCCCCGTTGACACTGCTGCATCCGAAGGTCACTTAATTTTAAACGGATCTGTTTGTTTGCACCCTCTCAAGGACTACGTGGACAGGCCTCAGCACATTGGCACAATAGCACAAATGGCTAACAACTGACTGCATATTAGTAGTCTTTTTGGAACTGCATACTGCATGCACTGCATCAAACAACCTAGACCACCACACAACAGTGAAATCTTCTTGGTGAAGGTGATTCTTTCAAAAGGTATTTGGAATTATCAAGTATAGCCAGGTAGTTTTTGGCCTACGGGCTAACACTGGAATGCGCCACATGCAATCCGATAACAAATTATGGCATACGCATTACTTGTGTGACACAGTCATCAGGACAACGCGCGCCTAATCACCCAGTCTGTGGGAACGAGTACCGAATTAAGATGACGGATGGCGGCTACCAAGAAGGCGATGACATTGCAAGAAATACTGTTGATATTTCAATGGCGCAAGCTGATTAACGAAGAAATTTTAGGCACGTTCTGAATGCCTGCTCAATGAGAACATGCTGTCGTACACAAGAATGTCCAATTTTTAAGGAAAATATGTTTGATATTACAACGGTTTTTCAGCGATGATATAACTCTTGATTTCGCGCAGAATTTCTCGAATTACCATGGGATCCGAAGGTTCTGGAACACGAGAAATGGGTGGAGGAAGAAACAAACCTTACTGTGTAAGTGAGTTCATACGATTTAAACGTAAGGTTAACCTGAAAATTCTGGAAAAATATTGATCTGGTAAACTTATAGCAAGATGTATCCCCGTTTGAATGCAGTACGATTTCTGACAAGCGATATTCTACCACATGTGAGAACTCTTGTATTGGTTCCAGTGGAAATGTGGACTGTGTAAGTGAGTTCATACGATTTAAACGTAAGGTTAACCTGAAAATTCTGGAAAAATATTGATCTGGTAAACTTATAGCAAGATGTATCCCCGTTTGAATGCAGTACGATTTCTGACAAGCGATATTCTACCACATGTGAGAACTCTTGTATTGGTTCCAGTGGAAATGTGGCTATTCGTCAGTGTTTGTCAAAAAAAAAACTTAAACAAACTAAAAGCTGCCGGTTCCTCATTAATTTAGATGGCCCTAATGTGACATCATCTTGATTTCATCTTCAGATTCGACAAAAGCACTGAACAAATAAAAATGAAAATTCATACTGAATCACTTGGGTTGTGGGCCGAAGGTGATTCTATTCTCTCGGACAACTTTGTGGAAACAGCTCACATGAATTTTTCTCTGCTTCAAGAACTCGGTTACGATCATGTCGGCCTTCCTCCAAACTACCATGCACTGTCCTGGGAACAACCAATTGTTAGATGGACGGACGAACACCAGGCAAGCCAACCCATGCAAAAATTCATGCAAATGCCATGATGAAATTTATTACGGTTTACGTTTCGAATCTGAGAGTGGCCACGTTTTTTGTATAAAAGTTTCGACTTTTTGACCAAGTAAATTATTTGGACTCTAATTAACATCGGAAGACTTGTAATATTACCTAATAGGTGTCTAATTTGGTAAATATATGAATGCGACTGCGTGTTGCTGTTCACTTCGGAATTTTCTACGATTTATACAATTGGTGTGACTTGCATCCATTTTGTAGTTGCCAGAGGGTAGCCGATCGCCCATCGTTCAATAGTTTTATTACTGTAAATACTAATCGAACTGATGGTTGTTAACCCGAGAATTCATCAGTTCTATAGTTAAGGCTGTAATACTTTCCAGAATGACTGGAATATCCGAAAAAGTGACCATGTGATCAAGACCGTTGATACAAACCGTACAAAACTGACAAGAACCTAGTGCGTTACCATGGGATTATAGCAATAATCCCATGGTAAGTTTTCGGATGATCAATGAAAATATCGCCACAATAAAAGGCGTCTATTTCCGCTTGTCATTAACTTCTGCCGTCAAGCTTTTTTTCGTGAAGTATGCAGTAAAAGTAAAGAAGAGGCATGGGCGACAAATTAGCCTTTGGTGATTTTCCACAAGGATTTTTCTAATCTCAGAAGGTAAAATCAACGGATAGGTGATTTCTTCTATCTGCACAGTTGGTTATACCTGAAAAGTTAACCCTCGTTATTCCAAGCAACTCAATGCTCAGTCCTGAACGCACGGAAACTGACACTTAAGACTAAGGAGTCCGCGCCCAATACGCCGCAAACGGAGGCTACTCATGAGCGCCAGCCGGGGAACAAAACTGCATTGACTGCGATCTGTGGAGGAGTCATGACCTCTCCAGTGCACTTGATTACTAAACGAAGACACTGCGGTTGTGAAACAATCCTCAGTCAGCTCACTCCACTTCCTAATTCACTGAGAATCACATAATACCTGGGCCAATGCGTGAAGAAAACAATAAAAGCAAAAAACAAAAGACAACAACATGGTAAAATAACATAAATATAGGGGCTAAGTGGCAAACAACCGAAATATCATTGTCCTCTTATGCATGCCCTAAAATACTACGTACGTCTACTCCTTCAAAGTTCAGATGCCTTTCATAGGGCTTTAGGAAAATTTGCACGCTAGGCAGTCATAGTACCCTCAGACGTGGGTCACGTGTCGCAGCTAATCAGGAAATGTTTTTGAAATAAAGTTTTTATACTAGTACTTCATCATGTTACCGCCTGACATCGTCGGGCCTTTCCTTTTAAAGGAGGAGCTTATTCTTTCAATATACGTTTCATTACTGGTAAAAGCTTATGTGGTGCTTTACTCTAGCAGAACTACGGGTTAGACGATTCGAGTTACTGTATGCCATGAGATAATTTGTGGATGTGGTCATTACTAGATGCTTGTGACAATGCAAAATGTTGCTGAAAATCGATAGAACTTTCTTGAACTATTTCCGTCGATTGTGACTCACTTCGAACCATCAATCAAACGTGTCCATCAAGCGGTACGATTACAAACAATGGAGTACGAAGGACCCTGTGCAGCAATTTCGGATACCTCACAGCTGAGCTGGTTAGCTTTTGAAAGAGTATTTTACGAGCGCTTAGAGGTGTTTGTTATTGGTAGTTTGGTTAAGTCAAGAGGAGAAACTAGCTCCGGTAGCTAGTTATGTATGAAATCATCAATGGACGACTGATCAGGGCAATGCACTACACTACTCCACTACAAAAAGCCTGTCAGAAAGACCTTCAAGTAGGACGTAAGGTTGACGGAAACTCGGGGACTGCGCCTACCTGATGAGCCCCAAGAAGAGCAAAACCGGTCGTGGGCTGTCGAAGAGTTTTCAGCAACCTTACGAGTAGTTTCCTTTAGGAAAACCGTCATCCTGTTTAGTTGAACGAGTGAAAGAACCTCGTTCTATGCAGTGCTGTGCTGCAACTACGGACAATTACAAGCCTACTTTACTTGGAAGACACTAACTAGGTTTTGCATCCAAGCCCAAATAACCACTGATTATGCGCCTCTACGGATTAAGTACAGGCTGTCTGGTAAAGAAATCTCTTGGGATATCACATTGACATATCGCAGCTTTGATGGAGCGTCTGGAAACTTTTGCCTGGATAATAGCCTCGCAATCTTGCTTCACTCGGATCTTCCTAAAGCACCTTGGTGATCAGGTACTGTCGGAAATCGGGTTAGTTTATAACCGAGTCAGACACGATTAGACGCTGGCTTGCATTCAACCTCATCGTCATCAGTCGAATATGCTGATTGTCGAACTTGTTTCTCATACAAACCTGTTCCCCTCTCAAGTTTTATCCACTCGAGTTAATATTCCTCATAATGCAGAACTAATTATAAATCGTTTGTCGTTCCCACATAATGGTTTTGAACGCCATTCAGAAGGAGGTTACAACCGTATAATAACACTGCAGAATCAGTTAGACTAAAGGCGATGTCATTCAGTGGAAAATTCTACCAATTATTTTGCGTTTAGTTTCAGGAATTACCGATGACCAAAAGAAGTGTACGAAAGTGCGTCAGTTACGATTCAAATGCATATCATTTCTTCATCTAACGCACAAAGTAACGTGTTCTGGAACAAACAGAGCGCTTTGCACACATCCCTGTCACTTTACTAAGATTTTAAAAATGCATGTCGTGAGTGGGCACTTCCGATTTTTGCTCGAAAGCCCAGCCTGGAGTTGGGATAGGACCCATTCCTCAATAAAAAAACAGTGCATACACGTTTGGAAGGATGTAACTCCTGGGAGAGTTTTAGCACCCACTGGAAGAGGCTGCCCCATCAGATGATATCGATATAATTCAAGCAAAATGACGCTTAGATGAGCTGCTAGTGACAGTTATTGCATTCTTTATCGCCCTCCATAGACTAAGGACGAAGAAGGCACCAGTGCATAACTCTCAATAATGTCTTTGACTATCTCAACAAGTGACCGTTCAGGGAGGTAATCCAATAAACAATACAGCGGTTATGTAGAAATTATCAAACCAAAGGAATTATTACAGTGAGATTCTACAATCCGACGTTTCGGTTCTCGTGGTCAACCTTCTTCAAGGTTTTTTAAACTCCCTGGAACACGGTCCAAGCACAGCGTTATTTGGGTCCCCTATCACGCTTTCTGATTGGTGTGTTGCTGAGGTCAGTTGACAGTCGTGTATGACCAGTGTCTATGTGCCCCATCTCGGTGTGCGTGTCCGCTTCATTGTTTGTGTAGTTTGGCAGTGATGTGCCTCCATTTGCTGTTGTGTTACCGACTACGATGCGTCATCGTTGAGATTCCTACCTAAAACCTGCACGCCACCACGTCTACTGAGGCGGGCAGGCAGTCAGATAGGCGATGTGATGGTTGACGCACTTCAGTTGATCTCCGGAGCTTCGGCGAAAGTCCGTTTCACGTGTTACTTGGGTACTGACTGGAATGTGCGTGTGCAAATGAAAGCGATTTGATAATTTGGAGTCCAGTGACTGAGTCGCGCTCAAGTTATTTGATTTCATCGCTCTCGTAGAGGCAAAGTTGCAAGCTGTTTGTGCTCGACAATCTGGTTCATGTATTCCGCACAGTGAACTTGCTGGATGCAGTTTGTGCAGTGTACAATGTCCAAGAACACCTAATATAGTAAACCCAATTCACCTTCCGAATGCTGTCGGAAATTTCGTCAGTTTGAGGTGTTCCCCCAAGGACCACTAGATTCTCGTCTCTTTGTCTAACTGTTTCGGATAACGTCCTTGTTATCTGTTGGATACTAGCATGCTGCAATAAATTGCTTAGTTTTCTGGATTCGTATGGACCTGCTTAGACTCATTCAAGCGTGCCTTTTTGACGGATTCATTTAAGACCCAACGAATTTCTTTTTGATGAAGTTTTGAATTGAGGATTTGTAATAAAAAAAGGCACCTGAGTATGTGAGTTTCCTGGAAATTCCCACTGAGAACTCATGGTTGGTGTTGACTGAGAGCCTGCCCTCCCTTTCTCCATAGGGAATTCCATACGACTGTATTATTTATTCAAGCATCTAAGAAGACCTGTTTTTGTGTAGCTGATACAATGTGGGGAACACATCGAGCAGATGCGCCTTTGATAAGGTTAGATTCCTGAAATTAACCACGGAATGACCGAAATCTACAGGCACCCTCAGGTTCACCAGACGCCGACCAGATAGAGCTAGACAGCGTTGGATCAAGGTCAGACAACGTCCATTTAATATATAGCGCGAAACAAACTTGTATCAAGCCAGACAGCGCCAGACAACGTTGGACCGAGGTCAAACAGTACTTCTCAATAAAAATAGCCTGAATCCGTTGTATTTTCACGCTCGCTTGTTCACCAAAAGCTGTTGTGTTACCTGTCAGTATTAGGCACTGGATAGGGGAAAGTATTCATATATAACAGAAATTACGTAAAGTCCCAGCTTCACCATCGTGCATGAAAGGACTGACCACCATGGTGAGTTCATAGCGGCACCGTCAGTCTGTCTATTGGACCAGTTTTAAGGTGTGAAATTAGTGGCGGCTATGCATGTATTTAGTCGCCAGTATCGGCACGGGATAAAACTGGAGAAGTCTTTGTGTTAGAGGTAAACCTTCACTTCACACTACTATAGAATAGCTCTTGTGTCAAAACTGACCGCTGCTTTTGGATAGATTGTAGTCTATTAACGGAGTCGAAGATATTATTTACGTGACCTCCCACTAGTTGATAATACGAAATACTTAGTTGAGTTGGAAGTCGTACAAACAGTAAAGTTCACAGTGTTACATACGGGATAGCCAGCTTTATGTGCTTTCGGGCGGCTAGAGAGCCTTCCGGGTCTTTTGGATTTTGATGCAATACAGCTTGTTGGTGGCATCATTAATGAGGTTGGTTTATCCACTCCGAAATTACCGTAAACCGCTGTGGCGACAGCTATAATGGGTTACAAGTCTAGCACGACCGATAATAGAAT